GTGCAGGAGTTGACAAGGGAGATATCTGTGTTGTTTATACACAGGTCTCTCCCCCGTCGGAGATACTCGGCGATCACTGAGTGACGGCGAGAAATCACTGGCCGGGACCCAGTGATTGACAGTCGAGGCCGCGAATGGCGGTGCGGGTAGGGAGCACACGCCCCCCTACCCGGAACTGAAAAACCATGTATATATGCGTGATTTTTGCGTACCCGTGTTGCCCTGTAGCAGTATTTTTGCTATAGGGAGACGCAGATGTTAGATCAGCAGCTGCTTTCTGGACTGAAATGCTGGCTCTTTAAATAAACTGTCATGTATGTCTTGGTGTCTGCGATGTTGCTGACTGTGTTCACAAATATCTGACACAGATCAGCCCCACCCTGCAGCTTCTCACCTTCTAAGTTGCTATAAACGTACAGTGTTACAGTTTGATCAATGGGGAATAGGAGACTGCGGAATTTCTTCCTCTTACCTGCAGCAGACTGATAACATTATCTTAGCTTAGGGAAACATGCTGGACTGGAGCCCAGGCTGTCATGGCCCAGCTCCTGGTGATGGGTCATTGCCCAACCTGGGCTCCGAATACTACTGCACTGAACATCACTTACACATCATTACCTGAGCACTGTTCACTGCAGGATTAAGGACCTCTCCCGTCCAATGGGGAAGATGAAGGACCAGTCGATGTCAATGCAAGATGTCTGTGTATATCTCTCTCTCTCTCTCTCTCTCTCTCTCTCCCTCCCTCCCTCCCTCTCTCTCTCTCTATATATATATATGCACACTGTGTATGTACACACATTTTTAATTGGAGTGATGGGGGGGGGGCTCAGAAGGTTGAAAGTCCTCATTTGATGATTAAAGGTAGATATTTTGTAAGAGATGATAGCATTACTGTATACTGTGAGATGACAGAAATGTCACCTTGCAGACTTGTAAAGGCTACTACTGCCCCTGAGGGATGTTATGTGATGCTGGTAAATAGTGTTCCTTTGCTTTCAGCACACATTTTAAGCAGAAACAGCTAAAGGGGGCAGTGGATCAAATGAGACAGCAAACCATGTATATAGTGATGTAGTGTGAAACACAGGTCCCATTATAATTTATATTAACTTTTCTGTGATTTGGTTTACGGATATTGCTGACAGCTACTCATGTGTGTAACTTCATGTGAGGTTTGTAACAGAGCAAGGAGTGAGGCATCATGCACCAACCCTTCTTTACAATTACATGGAGAGACCAAACTACCATATTAACAATTACAACTTTATTTGTACAAAGACTATAACAAACAAGATAAAAAATAGGATAATATCCAGGATACCCTATCAAAAAGGGAGATAATTCCTGGTTTCACCCTTTACATAATATGTAGTACACATCGCCATATAATGAAATACTACTGTCAAAATATTACTGTACAATTAAGAACGGTCAAAGCGTTTCACCTATGCATATGGCTTCTTCAGGACCGAAACGTCTTTGTAAAGGGAGATAGTACTACTATGTATAAAAAAAAAAATATATTATATATATAATCAATATAATAATTACGTATAACATAATAATATGAACATATACATATAATATTAAGAAAATTAATGGGCTTACCTACTAAAGTGGCAGCAATCAGTAAAATCCTGTCTAGGGGGTGGACATAGGGGACTCGACTGTCGATCGCTCAAAGTAAGGTGCATGAAGACAAATACAATGACTTATCTGTCCAAACAAAAGAATATTTGATCAAAAAATATTACCATTTGCTGCAGGCCCAGAATGTGTACATAATAAACGATACTCTGTTAATGAACAAGTAAAAGTTTTATTTTAGATTGGAATTCTGTTATTTTCCCTTTATCCATCATTCAGTATATTATCGGTTTAATTCAAGATGCTCCTTCTGTCACACATTTTGACGGCCAAGATACAATTTACAGGACATTATTCAGTAGACATGGCAAGACCAGCATATTTATCATAGCCATCATTGACTGACACTCATGCTGCTTATGAAAGTTGACAAATTATATCAACGGGAAATCTTCCTGTCTTAGTAATAACCCCCAGAGGTGACAGTTTTAAAGTGTCGTAAATGTTAGAAACATCAGCCAAAAGTTGATGTTTTTCAATTGTACCTCTTTTTGAGTCTGATACAATTAATATGAATTGCTGAAAAAGCTCAAAGCATTGAAATCATTGTCACAGTAGAAGTCTGATCACTTCATTGGCATCTTATTAAAAAGTGGGACAGGAAGGTGCTGACACAGTCCGCCAATGACATCCTTTTAGTCGTTTTCTAAATAGAAACTGTGTGAGCAACTAGGGGCCTAGCCCTACATGACCTAAATGTCACCAGGATGTTCATGGCTGTTAAATTGCTAGATGAAATCAGACCACGTATGGAACATTTCTGAAATATTCATCTGTCTGACATTCAACAGGGCTGTGCACATTGAAGAGAATTGTATACAGTACATTCTTAGAAAAAGTCTTTGTTCGATAAGCTAAATGTGGCCATTTCAGTAGACTAATTTGCTGCTTTCTATGCAAATGGTAGCTTGAATATTGAGAGCTACATTACAAGAGAAAATTTCACATAAATCCCAATACTGAATATCAGTCAAAGGAAAACAGAAAAAAAGTCTTGCTTTTAGGGCATGTGTAAAGTTCTGATTTCTTTAGTGACATACACTGTCATCAAGTACTGCCTCAGGCATTCTACTAATGTTTAATTTTCTTTTTCTTATATTAATTCCAGTAGTATGTCTTGATAGGCCTCTTTATTTTTCTGTTGCTAAGTTATTCAGAGCACTTCACTGGGAGTCTGAGTTTTAGAATGGCATTTTTATTTCATTAGCATTTCTTGTGAGATTATTTGGTGTCTCAAAACTGTTCTGTGCTTAATTTAAAACTCACAAATTTAAACAATTTGGAGTACAACTTTGTTTTTATTTTATTTTTTTATTTGTTTGGCTTGTTTTATTGCTTTGCATGAATAACCTTTTCTGTTTGTCTTTGTTTTGCAGCTATCTTTGGCAGATTCCATTAACTATTGCAGTAGGAAATACAAGCCACATCTCTCCACAGACAATTATATGGGTAACAAACAAATCAGGTGAGAACATGGCAAATGCTGATAGAAGAAAAACCTGAATCAATGCTTCCTTTTTTTTTCAGGGATATTAATATTATGTTGCCCATCATAAGAGAAGTATAATTATTTAGAACTTGTGTTTCTTTAAAGTGCGCCATTAAGCTAATTAAAAATTGTCAGTTTAGCAAAGTTACAAAAAGCAGTTAAATGACCAATCTACCTGCCACTAAAATGAGCAGCTATTAATTTTGTAATGTGTATGTAGAATTACCTGCACCTGTACATGGTTTAATGTAGTTGATATTAATGAAAATTTTCTGTACAGCCTTTCACTCTTTGCTAGCTAGAAAAAATTACATTGTGTTTGATTATTGGATACAAAATCAACTATGTGTTGTAAAATATCACACTTTGCTGTGCAGCCCTGGTTTTAATACTTTTTTTATGATATTTAAATTATAAATATACATTCTTTTTTAAAACAGGATAGAATTAGAATAGCTATCAGGTTTTTATTGTTGTCTGTGTTCTTGCTGAGAAGATTTCATTCTCGTATATACCGTATGTTCAGGTGTTCATTGTCACCAAGACAGGGAATGATGGGGAAACCAAATTTTTAGCCTTGGTTCACATTTGTGTGGTTTTGCGGGCTATGGCAAAGCAGCATTGCCTCACAAAATGCAGGGAAAAGGTCCCTACACCTTTCCAGAAATCGTAGCCTGCACTGGGAACCGCACTACAGTGTAGTTCCCAGTGCAGGTGCAAATTCCAGTGTAGGCGGTGTGCCATTAGGATTAATGGTATCTATCCACGCATCCTGTGTTTTGTGTGTGGGTGGTTGCAGCGAAGTGCAGGTCCACCCACACTAGTGGGAACCTAGCCTTTTAGTTGTCAAATAAACAACAGGGAAAGGGAAGTCTTGTATTGTGAACACGTCCACATTCCAGATGGTAACTATCTAAGAATGGATTTCCTAATTTCTTGGAAACTTTATTTTTACTTAAAAAAAGTTTTGTCCTTGGATACATTTTTACTGAACTTTTGTTTTTCGCAATACTGGAAAGAGGCAGTTTTGAAAATTCAGCAAAAAATTCAAAGGGGTCAAAGACTCCTTTCTTGACTTTTCTTGACTTTTTGAGCTAGATAGCACTACTACAACTATAATCATTATTTATATAGGATTTATATAGCGCCAGCAGTTTTGTGCAGCACTTTACTATTTATAATATCTGGACATACACCATATTGCCAAAAGTATTGGCATGTCTGCTGTTACACGCACATGAACTTTAATGGCATCCTAGTCTTAGTCTGTAGGGTTCAATATTGAGTTGGCCCACCCTTTGCAGTTATAAAAGCTTCAACTCTTCTGGGAAGGCTGTCCACAAGGTATAGGAGTCTGTCTATGGGAATGTTTGACCATTCTTTCAGAAGCACATTTGTGAGGTCAGGCAATGATGTCAGAGGAGGCTTGGCTCTCAGTTTCCACTCTAATTTATCCCAAAGATATTTTATTGGGTTGATGTCAGGACTCTGTGCAGGCCAGTCAAGTTCCTCCACCCCAAACTTGATCATCCATGTCTTTATGGACCTTGTTTGGTGCACTGGTGTGCAGTCATGTTGGAACAGAAAGGGGCCATCCCCAAACTGTTTCCACAAAGTTGGGAGCATGAAATTGTCCAAAATGTCTTGGTATGCTGATGCCTTAGGAGTTCTCTTCACTTAATCTAAGGGGTCAAGCCCAAAGCCTGAAAAACAACCACACACCATAATCCCCCCTCCACCAAACTTTACACTTGGCAAAATGCAGTCAGGTAAGTACCATGCTCCTGGCAACTGCCAAACCCAGACACCTCCGACGCTTTGCATTGCACATGGTGATGTAAGGCTTGGATTCAGCTGCTCGGCCATAGAAACCCTTTCCATGAAGATCTCTACGCACTGTTTTGCTAATCTGAAGGCCAAATGAAGTTTGGAGGTCTTCAGCTAGTGACTCTGCAGACAGTTGGTGACTTCTGTGCACTGTGTGGTTCAGCATTGGCTGACCCGCCCCTATCATTTTATGTGGCCTACCACTTGGTGGCTGAGTTGCTGTTTTTCCCAGTTGCTTCCACTTTGTTGTTATACCACTAACAGTTGACCGTGGAATATTTAGTAGCAAGGAAATTTCATGGATAGACTTATTGCACAGGTGGCAACCTATCATGGTACCACACTTGAATTCACTGAGCTCCTGAGAGCGACCCATTCTTTCAAAAAACGTTTTTAAAGGCTGTAGAAAAAGGTCTGAGGGAGAGAGAGAATACAATGGCATGTTTACTCACATCTAATAAAAAACCTTGCATAACTACTTCCTGTTTGGTTTACATACACTTTGACTGTAGCCTTCTGTCCAGCCAGAGAGGGTAGTGCAGAGTAGCAAAGCTACTGTATGTAAATCCCAGGACTGGTTGTATTTAGCTGTTTGCTTGGATTTTATCATTAAATTTTGGTACTGCCTGGTATAAGTACATTTGGAGCTGAATGTTTCTGTTGGTGTCTGCACTCAACAAAGGCTTTACTTTGCTGCCGCACTGCCACTGAGTTTAGAAAATTATGACTGAAAAAACAATTATTTTTGTATACATAAAAGTTTCAACAAAAGACATTAACTGGATGTATGTTTAAAAAAACAAAAACATAGCATCATAAGCTCATGAAACTGAATTTTTATTCTGTAGAATTCCTTAACTTGAAAGAGTATCCTTTTTATGGCTTTGATAATGGGATTACCCTTTAACCTTCTGATCCTAGCAATTATTTTGCTGAAGATGGCTATCGTGTAAAATGCTTTGCAGTTAAGTTACCGTATGAAGAGAAATCAATCAATAGAAATTACATGAGACTAGTTCAAGGTTGCAGTTGACAGGTAGCTTCCTTTTCACTTCTTTGTGGCACAAAAAAGCATCCGGCATTTGCTCTTCTGAGATAATGTCTGTGAGTTTTCTTGTCTGGTGACTGCAGACTATTGTATTTTCATGATGTATATTTATGACTTATAATACAGTATGTGGTAAAATGCTAAGTAGTCTTCTGCTGCTGAACATTACAATGATTGCAAAGAAACTACAATTGTCAACTGTTGCACTTAAAAATAAATAAATAATAATGATTTATACATATATATCATTCTGTATATACAGTATATGATCCATATATTGCAGATGGTTTTAACAAAATTTATTTGTCTCTTTGGTCACAAAGTCTCTGTCTTTTTGCTGTTTTATGATTAGTGTAAAATAGAGTAAAAGTCCTGGAACAAATATGAACTCTTCAATGTTTTTTTTTTCTACTGTGTCAGCTAAGTGATATGGGATCCTGAACACAGATTTCATCTATACCAAAAAACAATATTAAAGCTGATGATACATGGATCAATATTCATTCTGTTCAGGAGGAACTGGACAAAATTTGATCTATGCATGGCTGTTCCTGTTCATGAGAAGTCTATCTATTCATTGTTTTTTTTGTTTTTTATGAACGTGCCTGTTGGTATATTTTCACTTGTTCAGTGCAGCCAATAAACTTCTGTGGTGATTGGTGTATCCTAACAGCCAGGGAGTCCCTCTATCAGAGTTCAATGAAACAGGGAGGAGGATTCCCCCTTCCATCCACCTTGAATATGTGGATGGGGAAATTGGCTGAAGAAAAACCAAGCCATGTATGGCCAACTTCAGATTATTACCCACCCTGCTGAATAACTAGCAAAACTGAAAACTACATTTTAAATTTAATGAGAATTTAAGTTCTACAAAATAAAACATTTTCATAGACATTCTCAGCTTCACCCATACCACAATATTAGCTTCATTAAAAAAAACATTTTTGATAAAATATTGTGTTATATTTTCATTTACTTTCTTGTGGATGTTATCTTTTAAAGATTTATGGCTGCAGCACATGCTATCAAAAGAATAGTTGCAGATTTTTATCATATTGATAACACTGTGAGAATGACAGAGACGTAATTTATAGATACAGTCATTTTGAATGAAAATATATATCCATGAATGCTTGACAACCTTCACATCCTATCAGTAATATTCTTTCAAGGAGAGGAAAATTTCAACATTAAAATATATATTAATTGTCAACACTTTTATAGTAGCTGAAAAAAGGTTTAGGGGTACATAAATTGTTAAGGTTGAGTGAGAATATACAGTGCCTTTTGAACATAATGAATGCAATCTGCATATTAATTTACTGTCTATGTCCTTGACCATGAATACACTTCCAATTATTTCTCTTTGCATTAATATCAATGTAATTATAGTGTACTTCACCAATAACAGTTTATATTGACCTTTTACTATTTCATAAATGAACACAGCAAAGCAAAAGAACTACAATTAATTAGATTAAGACACTCATTTAAAATTGGTTCCTATAAGTCCTCCTGAAAATGTTACTTACATATTCTCATACACTTGATTGAGGTTGATATATTGTATTTAACCAGTTGAAGTATATGCAAAGGCAAATTTAAATTGCTTACCACTGTGGAGATTGTCCTTTTATTTGCCAAGGTGCTCACTGTCAGTGAAATGGAATGTTAGGGTAAATTAAACATTTTAGATTTAATGTATTATTTCTTGCGGTGGGTACATAGTTTTGATAGGCACCCACTCCCACGTCTGCTCGGACCACCAAGTTGATTTAAGCAGAAGTTCAGCCCCCCTCTCTTTGCTTGTAGCCCCCTGTGACACGTCAGCTTTCTGTGACCTATCACAAACTGCAGTGTTCCTCACGCAAGCACAGTCGAAGCTGGCTGTGAAGCCACCTAGAGTAACAGCCAGGTTCCCAGAGTAAATATTCTGGCACTGGGGACTTGAAGAATCCACCTGGGTGATGACAGAGCTAGATCCCTGTACTGGTAAGTGTCCTTTTATTAAAAGTTAGAAGCTACAGTATTTGTAGCTGCTGATTTTTTTTTTCCTTTCTAGGGTGAAGATATTCTTTAAGGTCACTCAAAAATAATTTGTATGGATTTAATAACATTTACAACACAACATGAAAAAAAAAAAATCCAAACAGGAACAACTGGTGGGTGTGGAAGCTGCCCAGATTCCTTTTTTTCATTGAACATTCATCTCAAATCTGGCAACTAAACATATTGAAAATGGAGAATGCTTGAAGTTAAATAAAATAAAGTTATGTAGTATCAAAATAATCCAGCGATCTCAAAAAATTGCTTCATAAACATATAAAACAAATAGCTTTATGAAATGTGCCACAAATAAAGTCTATAAAATAAGAGTCCCAAAGACATTAACATGAAGAGATCTTCCACCAATCCAACAGATCCTCTCCATATATAGAAGTCACAAAAATACTACAATATTATCAGCCCCTATTGGCTCCCTGGTGAGTTTCATTTAACATAGCAGTAACTTGACTATGGTGATGTTAAAGGGAAGCCATTCAGTGATTGGTGTACATTTACCCTGAGAGAACCTATGCTTATGATACATGATGTGACTGCTGTATTTTACTTAAATGTAATATTGCACAGTGCAAGACAATAATTAAAAATCAGCTTATGGTCTGGTGAATGTTCATTTTGGTAAAGGTGGTGGCACCTGGCGACTTTTATATATGGAGAGGATCTATTGGATTGATGGAAGATCTCGTCACTTGAATGTCTTTGGGACTCCTATTTTATAATATACTTTAATTGTGGCACATTTTATAAAGCACTTTTATTTATATATTTATGATGCACTATTTTGCAATCACTGGATTTTTGGGTGTTGTATAATTGTATTGATTTTAGTTTTTTGGTATATCAAACATTGTATGCCAGCAGCATACTTGTAATCACATACACCTTAGTAAAGAAAATAGATATTCTGTTTAAGCCAGTCAAAGTGTGCAAATTGATACTATATTTTTTTAAAGTAAAGAGGACACTGCAGCATTATGAGCTGTAACCAGTCTTTAAGATTTAAGAAAATGCAAGATGCCACTTTCTGTTTCTACATTCTCCACAACACCATCTTCACTGGTCTTGATAGATAAACACATATCAAAGAAACATCTAATAATTGTAGACATACCCATACAGCATGGCAGTAGCAAACAAAAATAAATTGGAGCAACATGGCAAATTTTGGGTTGGGGCCACCATTTTCTTGCTGGCCCCCATTTACAGCATCTCTTATTAAATTTACCTTGTGTACTGCAACAGAGCAATACTTTTGACTTGTGTGTGTGTCAATAGACCTCAAAAAAAAATACTTCGCAGGAAGAGCCAGCATTGGTATGTATTATCTGAGCTTGGCTATGTGATATCCTAAAGACAACCATAGAAGGATCGAATCTCAGCCAGTTCAACAGGGACTGGCAGAGATTCGGTTCATCTGTGGGAAAAACTGGTTGTACCCAAGTTGATCCATCAATTGATTTGGGTACAACCAGCCTGTCAATTTTTTTACATACGATTACTGCCAGTGGCTATAGTCGCTAGCATTAATTGCTGTCTTGGAAGGTTCCTTACCAGCAGAACACATTGGTGCTGCCAGAGGGATTCTCCCATTAACACTGACTGTGTTGATGGGGGAATCAAACGATTCATCTATGGCTATCATCTATGTCTTACTTTTGGGTATAGGCAGAAATATTTCACATGCCAATGAAAGTCTTAATAAAATACTGCATGTACATATTTAGTACCTTCTATATACCTATCTATTATAATTTTTAACCTAAAAAAATTAAGGTCATACTAGAATGAAGGTCATATTAGAATTACTATTAATTAATTGAATAAATTATAGTAATTAAAAAATACAATTATAAAAATGAACTAATATAAATGTAATATGCAGAGTATAAAAAGCTGCACACACTGTTAGTAAAATACTGTATATTGTTTTCTTTTGCCTTATAAATAGGCACTTTTACTGATATAAACTTCTTTACTTTAGCTTACCTTGATTTTTTTTTATTTTTAGATGAGTTTCTCTCTCATTGACAGCTACTTTACATGGAAAATAGTTTCCATAGCAAGATTATGTGGGAGGCTGTTTATGTCATGCTCAGGAACACACAGAGTATGACAAAGACAGCAACTATATATTATAAAAAGTAATGAGCATATAAATCCATTATTTTCTGTTGATTTCTTTTTGAACAGTATTATATTGCTTAGAACTTTAATCAACTGAGGCATGTGCAGCATACAGTATGTAAACTTTATATAGCACTCCATGCACTCTTTACATACAGTACATAAGTA